CAGGAGACACAAACTCAATCTCCAATTTTTCCCTAAGTGAATTTTCAGAAGGGGAGAGGCCCCATGTGGAAGAAAACTCCAGTGACATCTCTTTGTAGACTTTTTTTGAAAATTTATAATTACCCAAGATAGAGAATGCATTAAACTCAAGACTCACAAATGAAATCAATTTCTAAGCAACAAAATTTGTTCCAGTCTGTTTGGTTAGTTATTCTCTAAATAAATAGGTAATGACATCAGACCATGTGCCTTCACATAAAACAAGAAAAAAAAAAGTGTGAAGAGGAGAGGTCCAGAAGTGCCAGTCAATCTCTGGTGAGGCTCTGGCCAATTCATTTGCTCTGTAGCACTGTTTCTGTCCAGCGCTCGAATGTTCCCCAGCAGTACAGTGTCACATGAATAATAACATTATATCACTGGAAAGTCTGCCCTGCAACAGATTCACTAATTTATTTATTTATTTATTCATTTATTTATTTTTGTATTTACTGCAGGGTTTATAGGGTCTCACTACACAGATCAGTCTGGTAGTGATTCTCTTGTTTTCAGCTTCCCAAGTGCTGGGATTACAGGCATGTGCCACCACACCCAGTCTCAGTCACTGTCCCTGGGGGTGGAGCTGGCACGGCACGCTGGGGATCGAACCTCTGACCCCTATATCTGCCTAAGCAGGTGCTTTAGCTCACTGAGCTACAGGTTCACTATTAAACAATGCCAGTATGATTTCAAAATACTTTTTGAAAAATACCCATATTGGCTGATATCTTAAAACTTAAGCAAGATGGCTGCTTTCTCCAATTCTATTTTCACCAACTATACAAAGCTCACCATGGAAAATAAGCTCATTGTCCTAAAGTCCCTCTTCCTCAAGGGGTCTCTATATTCTGATTCATCCACTGAACAATTATTTGCTTAGACATATAATAACGTATAATAAAAATCTGCAGAAATGTCTTAGAAACATACACCTATATGCTTTAAAAGATAAAAGTTATACTTTCCCTGCTTCTGAATGTTCTCTACATTATATTTTCTAGTGAAAAAATTTATTTTGCAATATGACTAGATGTAGATCCAAATGTACAGAGTGTGATGAAAAAAATGTTTTAGAATATTCACATAGATTTTTAGAAGAGACTTACTTTGAGAAAGAAAACTTTTTACAGTAGTCAACCTGTTATAAAGTATAAATTTAATGGATGCTTGAAATTCATTTCAATGGATATCAAAGACACTACTGCTCCATTGCATGTCATATACTGCATGTAATCATTTCAGTTATTCTTTAATTCAACTTTTTTAAAAAATTTAATTCAACTTTTTCTAAATGCTGGGCATTCTGCTTCAGGAATGGGCTAAGATAGTAGTAAACAAAACAAATATATAACTTTCCCACAAAAAGTTTAAAGTAGGCTGGGGAGATAGCTCAGCAGTCTAAGTGCCTGCCTTGCAAGCACAAGGATCCAGTTCGACCCCAGGTACTGCATGACAAATGGGCACCACACCTTGCCAGCCACTAAAACCGGGCATGGTGGTACACTCCTGTAATCCCAGCACTGGGGAGGCTAAAACAGGAGGACCACTATGAGTCCAACCTGTATTGAGAGACCCTATACTAAATAAATACTTTTTAAAAATTTTTAGGTTTAATATATGTAAGATCTACTAACCATAATGGATTCAAAATGTAGGACTGATAATTATTTCATAGAAGAGATTAAGGAAAACTTACACTGATACGTGTGTGAGCCCCCACCCCCACCCCAACAACACCCACATGCTGGTTCTCAGAGCCCCTGAGGACTGTGTTATCTGTGCTGTCCTAGGTGGCAAAAGGGACTCCATGGATGGGACAAGGGTGCAAGGCCTTGAGCTGGCGGTAGAGCAGGAAGGGGAGGGAAGAAGAGAATGGCCTCCCTCGGCTGCACTAAGCTTACCCTAAAAATGAAATTTAAGATAATCACTGGATAAGGTCGAAAAGTACTTTTCTAAGTTATTTGAGGCTATATATAAAAAGTCTCTTTCTACTTAACTCTAATACAGAACTCAGGTTGTTTGAAAATGACTGTCTAATGGAAGACTTCAGAAACACACATTTGCACTTGAGAAGAGTACTCAAAACTGATAGCGAGGTCAAATCATTGAGAAGGAAAAGAACAACAGGAAATAGGAAAGTAACTCAATATTGTTTAAAAACTCCTTTCCCTCTTTGACACAATTAGTTCCCATTACTAAGTAGCAATAATCATTATTTTCTTGATATGCCCTTCGCTGTAAAGTAATTATTTTCAAAGAGGGAATGCACTTTAGGTCTTCTTAAAATTCAATGAAATATCTCACCTGCCTGGCAAGCACAAGGTCCAGAGTTCAATCCCCAGTATCGCAAGAAAAAAAAAATGCAATGAAATATCTTATGTGAGCTAAATCTGCAATTGCCTAACAAAAGCATCACCGTTTGTAATCTACATGGTTTCATTATAATTTTAAACTCAAAAATCAAATGAGTACATCAAATACAGAGTTGATGTGACTCAATTTCTAGTTCTCTTCTTTACAGTCAGTATATAATCACTGCTTCTTCTGAATCTTCTCTGTTCACAAAGAATGCACTTATGAAAGTGTCCTAGAGGGTACTCTCTGCTATCTTCTAATTTGAATCACACATACTACTAAAACAACAATCATTGCAACAATGGTTTAGCACATAGACCAAAAATGTTTGTGAAAACCTTTTGTCTCCCACTGGCGTTCAGAGCAGTGCACGAGCACATGAAAAGCGGGCTGACTTTCAGGCAGAGCTGTGAACCTGTCAAGGCCAGTGCGCACCCTTCGGGATGCACTCAGGACCCCGCGCTCCCCACTCCACATTGGAGGAATGATGAACGTCACCCCTGCTTTATGCGACATGCTGTCAGCTCCAGGGACATACCACTGTGCACAGGCCTACATGCTTAGAAAGGAGGGCCCCATGCTTAGGTTTTCATGCTCTGCTGTCCCTCCTGAAATTTCTGTGAATTCACAGGACCCCGGGATGGGAGGATGTGTGGCTTAGGTGCACATTCAGTCCCACTCGGAGTGACCCCTAGGCTGGGACCTCACATGCCTATCCCCAGACCCAGTCCTCGCTGGCTCCCCCAGGGACAGCCTGGCAGACTGCAGTGCAGGGCAGAGGGCAGAGCAGGGCCATAGAGCCCGGAGGGTCTGCCTTACCCCGTAAGTACCCTTTATGTGCTATGAAATCTAACATTAAGTAGAGAATAAAAGCAATATTGCTGCAGCCAAGAGAAATGGAAGAAAAAGAGAGACATTTTGCCCTTGCTGTTTGAATCAGAAGACTGTCCCTTGCATGCTCTAATCAGCCACAAGAGTGCACTGCACCTTTGGGCACATGTGCACACCAGCATGCACCTTGTCTGTATCTATAAGAGACAAAATAACTTTTATAAAGTCAGTTTATCTATAATTTGTAGATAAGCTGTATGTTTACGTGACTCTCCTATATTTTATCCATAAATATAAGAGCCTATACCTCAGCGGTGTACACATCAGGGGAGATGGCCTCCTGATGGTATTTTATGGCCCGAGTTCCTCGTGACTACTGAGCTGGCTTGAACAGTCCTCAAGAACACCTTATGTGCAAAGTGGGAATAGTCTAGCTTCCGATATTCTAGCAGGACACAACTTTACTAATTATTCTTACTAATATAATCTGCTTTACAAGTTTGATTTCTACATAGGAAGAAACTGTTGGTCAGGAGCCAAAGTCATCAAATACTAAGACTCTGAGGTTTCCTCAAATGTGTTGGAAGAACCTCAAAACTCATTAACTAATTTAGCACATCTCAGCCACTCACATAAGGAACTTCCATCAAACAACCCTGAATCTTCAATTTTATCACTAAAAAGTCCCATATTTTTGACTAATAATTCTCAAAACTTATCTTCATAAATCCTGAGCTATTCCACTTAAAATAAACTAGAGGAAAAAGTATTCCTAATAGAACTCTATAGCCCTATTATTTAAGAGGGCTCCATGATTAACATATAATAGCCACCTTATCCATGAGGAATGTGTTTCAAGATCACCCGTGGTCACTGGAAAATGTGACCAAATCCAAGTTATGACATGATCTTTCCTATGTGTGCATATCTGGGATGAACTTTATAAATTAGGCACATTATGAGATTAACAATAATAGCTAATAATAAATAGGATAATCATTAAAAACACTGTAATAAGTTATATAAAACTTAAAAATCGTTCTTGGAATTTTCTGTGACGTTTTCTAACCATGGCTGAGCGTACATGGGTGACGAAGCCTGTGGACAGGGCACATCTACCGCTCAGCTACCGACGCCATCACTGTGCTGTTCATTTCATTAAACCTAAGATTTGCTGGGCACATGTTATAGACCCTCCACCGATGGAGATATGTACCCATGAAATGAAACAGAAAGAAGCACAAAGCAAATAATTTTCCCTAAGTTCAGACAACATTTTTAGTACTTCTGAGCCTCGTCTAAAACCGTGGAAGTTACGACCTGTCACTTGTGAGTAAGATTCGGAGCTGTCCAACTGTCATGAGCTCTCCCCACCTTCGAGCCCGGAACACAGCCTCTGCAGCGCTGACTGTGACCTGACACCATCCAAATGCTAATTCTAGTGCTCTTTCCTTATTGACCCACTTAACCCGACCGACCTGCCACTCTGTCCTCTTCTTAATCAGCTAAATTAATGTGCAACCATAGTTTCTTTTTTTCCAAACCTGGCTCCCTTCTTCAACTAATATTTAGATAATTCCACAAACAAAACTCTTGCTCTAGTTCTGTTCCAAGAACCTCCTAGGTTTACTGTTCAATCAGAACAATAAAGAAGAATCCCTCCAGACAGGCAATTCACGGAACATTTCAAGCTCTTATGAGATTGGTCATGCTTCGTACCAGGAAAGCACCACGTCCGTACGCAAAGCGCACGGGACAGGGTCGGGAGGGCCACTCACACTGCTCATGTACTCCGACAGCAAGGCCTGCAGGGCCTGGCGGATGGCGGTGCACTCCGCGATGATCCGCTCCCGGTGGCTGTCCCTGGTGCAGGGGGAGTCGGCCAGCAGCGCGGCCCCGCTGATGATGGCCTCCAGCCGCTGCTCCAGCGACGGTCGTACTTCCGCCTCAGGCCCTGAGAGCGGGCTCAGGACGATTAAATTCTGCAAGAAGAGCGCATTCAGGGGTTAGAACCCCGTGACATTCTAATTTTAGGAAACAAGTAGTTTGATTTCACACTTGAGAATTCAGACATAATAAACACAATTATATCTCACTACTTCATCCAGTTCATATACAAGCTTATGCAGCAATTAGTACTAAGATGAGTGAGGAGAGTGTTGTGGTTATTGGTGCTGGGCCCAGTGTTGGGACGCTACAGATTCAAATCTTGCCTCTGTCTCACCAAGGTGTCCTACATGCTCTCAACCTCACCTTCCTGACCTGTAAACTTTGGGTATTAATGTTCCTTGTGTCATAAAACTGTCAGAAGAATAATACGAATGCTAAGGCGATGACTGCACAAGCTCTTACTCATAACATTTCCAGACTGCACTAACACAGCAACTTCACTGCGACCATCTCGTCCTGACAGCACCATGGAGTGGACAACACAGACACTGGCCACGTAATGTGGCTGGCAGGGCACAGGGCCAGAGCTGGTCACACCCAAGGTCATAGAGCGCGTGAACTGGTCTTATAATATCTAGTTCGATATTATTTTCATTATACATTACTATAAATAACAAGCTGTAATTAGTATTCCCACTAACATATCAGTAAAAATATTGGATTTTGTTTTTCATTTAATAAGTAAAATTCCATCTTCCTATTGATCTATTGCAACTTTCAGTCTTTGGAACCTGACATGGTATTTTATAGTTATGTAAAGGGATAAGTCTTTAGATAAAATCATCAAGAGTCTGTAGCCTCTGGAGGAAAGTGAGAGTGTGTGCTGCTCTAGGGCTCTCTTATGAAAATACAACAGGAGAAGAAGTGTTTCTAAGGTGAGGCCTAACACAATAACTGAAGCAAGAGTTAGTATAAAATAAGTCTCTAAAGAACCCTTAATATCAAATGAAATATAATTATCTTCATAGTGCAAAACTCAGAGTGGAGTTTGCATAAGCACACACACAACATTAAAAGATCTTCATAGTATATCAAACTGTAAGGTTTTATATAAGCTCACTAGTTAGAGGCCTGCACATATATGGACAAGGGGGGGGTGTACATCATACACTAGTCCATGTGCTACAATCAGGACAACAAATATTTGGAGACAAAAGTGGTCAGAGTAAAATTTTAAAAGCTGTAACTATAATGTCAAGCTTAGGAAGGGAAAACAATTACAGAAAGATAATTCTGTTAATTAAGTTCAAAACAAGTAGAAAAAATCCACATTGTGTAATAATTATATCTTATAAGATCTCATATAAAATATAAATGAGATTGTAGATTTAATATAACATTGGTTGTTTTAGAAACATCTAGGAGAGTTTTTTATGCCTCTGTTTCCTGTCTGTACTTTCACTGCTTAGTCCTTTCATTTTTTCCCCTTACACAAAGATTTTTAAAATCACAGTTTTCAAACCAAATGTCGCTCATTTTTCTTTGCCTGGCGTACCCTTTTTGATGACACCATAATCTCAGCTAGGCGATCCTTTGGTCAAAGATTTATTTCCTCTTATTCTCTTTGCTGTGTTTCCCATCACTATGTGGCTCACTAGCTTCGTACAGACTGTCCATGCCAATGCTTCACAACAAAAATCACACCAGTTAAAACCCTTTGAGGATGACCCTCCAGGCTGGCAGCATCCTGAAGAAGACTGCAAGAGGGCAGCAAGGTGACTGGAATTGCTCCAGCGAAATCAGAGGGAGCGGGAGTGGCAACGTGGCTCTAGCATTTTAATTGGGTAATTTAATGGTAAAAGCTGATCCAATTTCAAAGCTATTCACCTGCACATATTGCAAGCAAAAATCTAGTAACTTCACATGCTCTGGCTGTCACTTTCTGCGAGTGAAACAGTATCTATTGTGAGATTATGTTCACTTGCATTTCTGTTCTGTACAGCCATTCCAAAAGCCGCCTGAATCTGTGAATCTTTACCTGCTAACCTTTAAAAGTTCTTCTTACAAAAGAGATTGAAGAGGCTATCAGAAATGGAAAAATATCCTTTGCCCATGGATAGGAAAAGCCAGAAAGTGAAAATGACTGTACTCCCAAGACTTGTATAGGTTTAATGCAATCCTGTTCAAAATACCACTAGTATACCTCACAGAACTAGAGAAAACATTCCTAAAATTCATTTGGAACCAGAAGAGAAGTAGAATAGCAAAGCGAATTCTGGGCAACAAAGGCAAGGCAAGGAGCATCACAATCCCTGACTTGAAATTATACTATGAAGTTACTGTGATAAAATCAGCATGGTACCACCAAAAAAAAAAAAATCTGAAGATAAGAGAAATGGATTAGAAGATGCAGACATCACTACAAACACACTCATCCACCTTATCTTTGACAAAGGAGTCAAACATGTCCACTGCAAGAAAGACACCTCTTTAGTAAATGGTGCTAGAAAAATTGGCTAAAATTAGACCCCTGTCTATCACCATGCACTAAACTGAAGTTAAAACAAATCAAAGATCTAAATATTAAAGTAGGAGCACTAAATTTACTAGGAGAGAAAGTAAGTAGAAATCCTGAAGATATAAGTGTAGGCTGACTTCATGAACAAAAGCCAACCTGGGGAGGAAACACTCCAGAGAATCAACAGCTAGGACCTCATCTCACTAACCAGCTTTGGCACAGCAAAAGAAATCACCAACCAAGTGAAACAACAAACCACAGAGTGGGAACAACTTTAGCCAAGAGTCCCTTCAACAGAAGACTTATATTAGAACATATAAAGAATGAAAAGAAATCAGAACCCCCAAGTTAAAGATTCTATCCAGAATTGGGCATCTGAGATGAATACAAGCTTCTCTAATGAAGAAATACCAAAAACAAATAAACATATGAAATATTTTGAACATCATTTATTATTCAAGAGATGCAAATTTAAACAAATTCCATCTCACACCAGAAAAAATGGCTGCCATCAAGAAGTCAACCAATAACATGCTGGAGGAGCTGCATGGACAAGGAGCCCTTCTCCTCTGCTGCTGCGAGTGCAGGCTGGTTCAAATGTGGTGGAAATTAGAATGGAGATTCTCCAGAAAACTAGAATTAAAAGTCCAATTTCAATCCAGCTATTCTGCTCATGAGTAATTTTCCAGAAGAGCTGAAAACATCATACCACAGTGATATATGTGCACCCATGTTTACAGCAGCACAATTTGTCATAGCTAAATCTTGGAAACATCTCAAATGCCCATCAAATGAGGCATGGATAAAAAAGATGTGACATTTTTGTGCAAAAGAGCACTACTCAGCCATCAAGAAAGATAAACTTGAGACTACTAACATAGGTATGTGCCCACGCCTTGAGACCATACTCATAGGTGTTATAAATCAGTCACACGTATGTAGACATCATATTGTCTCCCTAGTGTAAGAAGCAGAAAGAGTAAATAAGACCCAAAATAGATATTGTGAAATGGGAAAAAAAATGCTCAAAAGAAAAGAGAAACTAGTATGGGGAAAGGAGAAAAAAAGGAAAGGAAGCAGAAAAATCAGTACACACACACACACACACACACGATAGGTAAGAGGTTAGACAGTCATACTACTAACTACTATTAGCTCACTGAAAGGAAAAATGTGAGCTTGTACTGTTTGATCAAGCTTCCATGCCGATCTCTTGTAATATGGGAAATTGCTTTGAAGAAAACGATACACAAAGAGCGTTTATTCCATCCCTTGTAAAGTGGAGAAAAGGAAGCCTACATCTGCTACATAGGACTTTAATGAAGGTAGCTTGATAGGATGTTTTCTCATCCAGTGGACTGACTTCATCTCAGTAGTTTACTTGCTGCTTTTGCCTTTAACTGTGCTAGTATCTATATCCGATGTATATATCCACAAGTTCTTGAGAAGGAAGCTACATGTTCTGAAACAGAACATTCTAATACATTGCATAGATATATACCATTTATTCAAAAAATATTTATTAATCACTGAATATTTTCCAGATTCTGAGCAAAGCTTTGTCCATGCATTACTAGGGCTGGTAGAATTTATTTAAAAAAAAATTTGAACAGTCCAAAGCACAAAATCAATATAGCCAGGAAAAGTTTTCTGTACTTTAATAAGCATAATGTAATAAACCTTATTCATCATTCAGATATTCTACATTCTATGATGGGATTGATCTGATTTGCATTCAGAACACTAAAAATCTTACACCTATTCTCCAAAGTGAAATTGCCTATCAAAAGAGATGCAGCTGTGATTATAACCAAGCACCAACATTCTTCACAAAAACACATGCTATGCCTCTAGTTGGAAGGAGCAGAAATAATAACTACATAACATAAATAATGTTTCTCTAGCAACTACATTATCAATCTTCAGAGTGAGTGATAAAAATGAAAGAAAATTCTTCTTTGTGATTATCAACAAAATAACTATTGGGAGAACTCACAGGCTCATCTGACTAGTGTAGCCTTTATTTTAATGCACTCCCTCTTAAAGAAAGAAGCTTTATATAAGAAAAATACAACAAGTAAGCATAAACTGAAAATTAGGAAAGTGATCACCACAAATTACATATGCTGCTTGAGTAAAATAGCATTAATTTATACACACATCAATTTAACTACCTATTTAGCTATAGCAGGTCAAAATGGACAAGACTTACATTTTGTTGTATGCTAATCAATATGAAACAAAATTAGAAAATGTTTTCAAGAGAAACACAATAACATAAATTAAATAAGATATATTCAGATTCCTTTGAAATACTTTCTCTAAATGATCAGCGTTGGTTTTCTAAACAGCCCCAAAGCACTTGGAGTGCACTTGGAGTGCTTTGGCAGTGGCCCACGGCAAAGCTGACAGCTGTCTGGTCATGTCATTCATTTCACCTAGGGCAGTAACTAACTCCTTCCTCAGTGCATCTGTGTCGGAGTGCAGCAGTCACCACAGGGCCAATGCCATAATTTCAGTTCTTTGTTTTTGTCTTGGAACAGAAATAACTAAATGAACTTTCAAGGATTTTCT